CTCGTTTCGGTGTTTTTCCTTGCGTTTTTGAAAGATTTCCCTATTTGGACCCCAAACAAGCGATTCCCTATTACCCGAGCCCCGATTCACTCAGCTGATTTATTATACGAGAAAATTCTTTGTTAACCCTCGTTGCCAGTATGTTGGTGAAAATTTGGCATGAAGTATGAAGAAGAGTATGTATTTTATATTGTGTATTCTACCTTTTGCTATTCTTATTTTGTTAAATCGATGCATGTTCAACTTGTTTTGCCTATTTGCTCCGTCCGCTCGGTAGAGTACACGCATCAACTAACGTAGAAGAAAAACATTATTCATTAATCGTGTTAAAATTTTTCTAGTTAAGTAGATTAGGCATACCGATCTGATTCTGATGGTTTGTTTTGAGTATCAGTCGCAAATATTTGGAGTGTATTAACGTAGTTTCCCATATACCCCATATTTCCCTATTTGACCCCTTTCCCTATTTGACCCCTTCTCCTCTATTTGACCCCGAGCGCTACCAACGCTCGCTCGCCTATTTCGTAAAATTTCGAGTCCAAGCCATGATTCATTGCTTCAATGCTCAATTCACCAATAAGGATATTCCCAATTAAAATATAATTAAATAATATAAATAATGTTTGATTTAAGTTGGCTACTAATTAAGAACGTTGATAGCGTAATAAAAATAATTAAGCCCAACTAATCTAATTAAAGAGTTAGTATGAAATAAAAATTATGCAACATATATTAAAAGGATTTAAGGTTGTATATGTTCTAGATAAACCGGTAACCCTAGCCAATAAATTTTTTACACAAATCTGCGAGTCGCATTCTAGAGGGGTGCATCTTAATTTATTATATTATTAAAATGTTGCCAATGATTGGGACTCTCTGCACCATATATTACTGTGACGTAGTGTGTGTTTTGCCTCACAGTTTGTTGACCTAAATATCTCACAGCGTGTCTTACAAGAAGATGTCCTGGCTTTGGAAAGCCTCCAAAAGATTATTTTTACTCGCAAATCACAATGTTACATTGCTTGATTTCAAACCAGATCTCACTCATGAAACTAAGTCGTTCAGTTATATGTCTTTAGTTTTGTATATTTCTCATCATCAATACTGTAGATTGCTGTTTGTGAAATTTGATACTGCAGTTCATCTCATAAGTACAGACAATGCTTTGACGTATGCAGCAACTGACTGTCATTTTAAAATAAACTAACTTCTGATGCTCTTTCATGGAGATTATTTACCATTTAGCATGAGACATCGCATGAACAATCCAAATTGGGTGGGGCATAAACCTAAACTGAGGCTTTTTATGATAGCCGCTGTTTCTATAGCGAGACCGACAGTTTATTCAGATGTATTTCCTAAATGGCGAAACACTAGCAGAGGCATGCAGTTTTATGTCCTGCTCTTTGATAAAATATTTGACTGACTTGAATTAAGATTTTTCATACTTGGTATACTCCTACTAACGTTTCATGGCGAGCTTTCTTCAACAATGGCCTCACCGATTTATCTAAAGTCATCTGAGTTGTTTTCCAAAAGTAGAAAATCAATGTGATACATTTCCCTGCATTCAATTTCATAAGTTTTTTGAAAACCATTTATGATAAAAATAAGACGCATCAAGTTTCTTAGCCTTAGTCCTAAAACTTTATTCTAACTTGACAGTCATGGCTGCAAAAATCCGTCGAGTCTGTAGAATCGTGTAAGCGAATTTCATCGCAAAGTACATACTGCTAGTATCATCCATTAGAATAATATCTAATAATAATTAAAGAGAAGAGGCCAAAGATTTTGTCGATTTGCTACACACTGCAGAGTTTCTCGCCACTTTAGCTTGATACTCAAGTGCAGTGCCAATCTATGAGAGTGAATTACTAATTACGATTTATTTAATTCTCTTTGCTATGTTGCTGGATCTTTGCTACCGAATTCAGGTGTGTTATTATAAATATTCAAAAGAGCACTACCAAACCATAGCATTTATTTTCGCATGCCTCTACTAATTAGCTCCTTAATGTGTTCAATGCAATCAAAGCGCCATCTTTATCAAGATCCTAGAATAGCAACTCGGCTACCAACCTCTCTTCACCCTTATGTTACTCAATTCTTTAGGTTTTGCTTGCAGACCATACCAAAAAGATTATATCTCAGAGAACATGCGGTAAAATGCTCTGGAGTAGTGATTAACACTATAACTCCAGATCTCTAATACATAACCATCTAGATTACT